CTTGCTTGGGTTCAAGTCCCCATTTTCATATACACTATGACTGTTTATCCACACCTACATTACAATGTTCTAAGACAAACATTCAGTTTGAGTCCTGAACTTCACATACTTGTAAAGCCAGCAAGCTGTGGGGTAGTCAATTCCCATTATTCCTGGACGAGGTCCAACCCCATTCACGAAACGCATGCTAACAATCTCAGCAAGAGCACACAAAACTATCTGCACACCAGTGAATTTTAGGAAGGAAATCAAAAACAAAAAATGAAAAACAAGGACAATAACAAGTAGATACGTCGAGAAAGATAAGATCGAGAATAGAAACGTCAAGTAACTAGGATCAAATAAAATAAGCATTAGTAGCATAATGGGATTGTGGATCGATTCATAGGATCACATGATCATACTTTTCAAAGTGTTTTTGTGATTTTCTACGTATCTTTCCAAATCGTTACACCTCCTACCTCAAATAACAATAATAAATAAAGCTTGTAACTTATAAACATTGTGAATCAATCAACTAAGATTTGGTTTCATTTAGAGTTTGCAAAAAAATCCTACAAAGTTGAGGAGGTGACCATTAAGGACAATGTTGCATTGAGTGCTCCGATGAGGTGTCTCCTATTTTGAAATGTATGCTTTTAATCTTTTTCAAATTTGCTTTTTATTTTTATTTGAATTTTTTGGTTATTTGACTCCAGTTGTTTCATAGCAGTTGAATTCACCTCTATATTTATCAACCCAAGCTTTTAAATCTCACCAAGTAAGCATCTAACAAAAAGAAGAGAAAGCAAATAAACTTTAATTAAAGGAAACACAATGATATGAATTGGTTGTAATTCTAAATTTAAATATGGATTAGTTAGTGAATACATCCATGTAGAAATAGATGAATGTAAGAAAGTATGTGATAATTTCAGAAGGATTTGCATTAAATAGTAGACAGGATAAAAAAAAATGGGAAAAAAAATTATACGAGGTGGCTTCAATGGCCACATCTTATGGAGGAGCAGAAATGTTGAAAAGAGCTATGAACATTATAATTAATTATAAAT